CGGTTTTTTTTTTTTTTTAATGACTACCTGGTAACCCTAGCAGTGATCCTATCCCTGTGATTACCACAGAGATTTAAACTGAAAAGCAACTTGCCTCCCCCCGCTTCAGCAATCCCCCTCCCCCAGCACCCAGCCTCCCTCACCCCCAGCCCTCATGCTTACCTGGTTCTGCAAGGCTGCTGGCACAAATTGGTCTTGGAGTCTTTTGGGGGGGGATTTTTTTTTTTGCTCAACAACTTTGGTCCCCCCCCCTTTTTTTTTAACTTCAACAAAAAATTTTCTCAAAAATTTTCTCAAAATTTTTCAAAAAAAAAATTTTTTTCGGGGGGGGGGGGTGTTCGGTATTTTTGTTTCAACCATCTGGCAACCCTATGCCTTCCTGGTTCTGCAGGGAAGCTGTATTCTGGCTTGATCAAGAAAACAAAATGGCCGCCCACAAAAAGCATAAAGATCAAGGGGAAGCAATGCCTTCCCAGGGTCTTAGTGCTCAACTGCTCCCCTGTTCCTATCCCTATCCTGACTGCATGCACTGAAAGGGGCCATTCTGTTTTAATGCTGTTTTATTTTTTAATATTTTTTGCTTAATAACTCTTGGAGTCCTTTTTTTTCTTTTGCTCAACACCTTTGGTCTCTCCCCTTTTTTTTCCCCTCAACAGAATTTTTTCCCCGTTGGTGTTTTTTTTTTTTTTTTTGCGGGGGGAGAAGGGAAGATGTTCGGTATTTTTGGTTAAACTATCTGGCAACCCTAGGCAGCATTGCATGGATCCCTAGGTCAGCTGGGAAATCCCGAGCTGACCCCGAGTTCCATGTGGCATTTCTGCTTAACCCAGAGTCAGCTGGGGAGTCCCCTGCTTACCCCAAGCTCCAAGAGGGCACCTCCGTTTTGAAATGCACAAGGGCCCTAACGAGGACTCTTTTGTGCATTTCAAAGCTGGCATGCCGCATGCAGTCCAGGGCCAGCCGGAAGTCCCACTGACTCCAGGCTCCACGCAGGCGCTTCTGCTTTGGAATGCACAAGAGCCTCTGGGCTCTTGTGAATTTCAAAGCGTGTGGAGCCTGGAGTCAGCAGGACTTCCTGCTGGCCCGGGCTGCACATGGAGTTCCAACTTTGAAATGCACAAGAGCCTGTGCTAGGGCTCTTATACATTTCTAAGGAGGAATACGGAAGTGCCTATTGACTAGTCAAATAGTCCATGGAAATTTCATCAACTACTCAACTCGTAAATTAATCGATATTTAACATCCTTAATTTTGGGATACATCCAGTATCCTGAAATAGCATTTTCTGCATCTTTACAGCATGCCCTTTATTTTGAAATGCTGTTGAAATAAAAGGCATGCTGTTCCGACATCCCGATAAACCTTGTTCCACAAGGATTAAGGGACTTGTTGGAATAGCAGTCTATTTCAAAATTTGGCTCTGTGTAGACAGCACCAGATTTCAGAATAGATGATCTCAAAATAAGCTGGAAATAAACTATTTATTTTGCGTAGCTCAAATTGTGTAGCTTATTTCACACTAGCGCTGCAGTGTAGACGCACTGTGAGTGACCCCATTCTAACTCCTGATCTCCCTCCTGCCTACTCTCATCCCCTCAATCCTGCTAGTGCAGGTTTTTTCTACATTGTCCGATCTACTACTTATATATCCACCGTGATGGTGCTTCTGCCACATTTTTTTGCGAGAGAGTTATTATCCCTCAGTCTTAGGATTATAATATTTACAATTTTCCCAATAGTCAGCCTCAAATTTCCCTTTTAAAATTCATCCCAGGGCTTTTCTTATTATCCCCTTGTACAGTATTGCCCTAAAAAGTTCCTATTGGTAAACTCCTTTTGGCTTCTGATTTGAAGTTCTTCTCTGTCTAATATTATTTAAATAAGAAAATCATATTTTTAAATCGTAACACATCAGTGTCTCTTATCTGTCCTAAAATAGCATTTTTGTGTTCTTGTAGGAATCTGAACATTCAGATCAAACAGGTACTACTTGGACAGAACCTGTGCTGCCCCCTAGGTAAGAATTTCTAAATAACAATTTCAGGGGTCTGAGATTTTCTTAGTTGGGCAAGTATGCATATCTACTAAGGGTATATTATTAAGACAGTAGGATGTGTTAAGTTGTGGTTTTGATATAATCACCAATAATTAGGCATGCACCAGTGACCAACTAATGCACACCACTTTGTGGCTACTTGATATGGTGGAGAAAGGGAGCCCCCTAGAAGAATTGCAACTCAGCTCTTCTGGTATCGTTGACTGCCAGGGCAATCTATATTCTCTCAGATTTTGCCCCTTTATTGAAAATTGACAACAGATAGAGCTAGAGACCATCCTTTCTTCCACAGAAAAGATCATCAACAGCCATCTTCACTTGCTCCTGTGATTGGGCTTGGGCTGTGGGAGCAAAGAGGTGGTCTTTGCCCTTCTAAAAAATGTTGCTGAAGAGGAAAGGTGCCAGGTCAGTTGCCTATCTGAAGCTCTAGATGCCTTATATACAGTGTTATAGACTTTAAGTGGAACTTAAGCTCTTAAATCACATAGGCACTTTTGACAATTTATATCTAGAACTTAATCAGGAAGCTTGGACATTGTCAGTGTACCGTTCTGTACAGAATAATCTCATTGCACAAAAGTGGCAAACGGTTCTATTATCCAATGATGCCTGTTAACCAAGGCAGGGTCTTGTCCCATCGCTTTAGCTGGGAGCATGACTGAGTTTGTATGATGGGATGTTTCAGGTAAGTGAGGTCCCAAGAAATGAGACAGACTGATTACCTAAGTCCCGGTAAATCAGCAATGCTCAGCGGGTCTTCTGCTCGAGCACCTCATTAAAAACACTTCAGCCCTTGGTGGCTTCAGACAAAGCTTTTTAATGATAGATGGCCTGGATGAAGTCCTACCTAACGGCCAACCATTCAGCTCCCTGGTCTGCAGAATTTTAAATCTGCAGTCAAGGGACCCTACTGAGAATGCTTCCTTGATTATTCACTGTCTCTCTATTATCCAGAAGTTTCAGGTATTCTCAGAGAACTTCAAGTAATCCAGATTCTACAGTATTGTTCTTTGTTTCAATTATTTGCATTTCCCTATTGAATGCTGTCTGTCTGTCTCAGAGATTGCCGGGGGGAAAGAGAGGGGGGTGGGAGAGAGAGCTATATGATTGTTTTCAATGCACACTTCTTTTGGTGGTTCAATCAATCTTTAGGCCTGTGGGTGGAAAAATCATACCAGCAAGATCTCTGCGCAAAAGGATGCTTTTTGCCGATCCTCGTCTGATATGACACTCCATAAAAGACATGATATGTTTGGAATGGGAGTCAAGAGAGCAAAGAGTCAAGTCTTAAAAAAACAAGACTCACCATTACCACCTCGACCTAAACCAGGGCACCCTCTCTACAATAAATACATGGTGAGACTAGACATAATGTACCTGGCTTTTGCATATAGGATAGAGGTGTTTCCAGTATAAAGTGCTTTATTACAAGGGAGGAGTCTATTGGTTTTCACCTTCAGTGTATATTCGTGCGTGCGTGTGTGTGTGTGTGTGTGTGTGTGTTAATATATGTAAACACATTCTGCCACCTCGATCTTCTTCACAGCCTTTGGCTGTATTGTGAACCAGGGGTGCTAGGAGGAAATGGAAGCTACACTGAAGGCGGAGCAAGAACTAGAATCATAGAATACTAGGACTGGAAGGGCCCTCGAGAGGTTATCGAGTCCAGTCCCCTGCCCTCATGGCAGGACCAAATACTGTCTAGACCATCCCTGATAGACATTTATCTAACCTACTCTTAAATATCTCCAGAGATGGACATTCCACAGCCTCCCTGAGCAATTTATTCCGGTGTTTTGACTACCCTGACAGTTAGGAACTTTTTCCTAATGTCCAACCTAAACCTCCCTTGCTGCAGTTTAAGCCCATTGCTTCTTGTTCTATCACCAGAGGCCAAGATGAACAAGTTTTCTCCCTCCTCCTTATGACACCCTTTTAGATATCTGAAAACTGCTATCATGTCCCCCCTCAATCTTCTCTTTTCTAAACTAAACAAACCTGATTCCTTCAGCCTTCCCTCATAGGTCATGTTCTCTAGACCTTGAATCATTCTCATTGCTCTTCTCTGGACCTTCTCCAATTTCTCCACATCTTTCTTGAAATGCGGTGCCCAGAACGGGATACAATACTCCAACTGAAGCCTAACCAGCGCAGAGTAGAGCGGAAGAATGACTTCTCGTGTCTTGCTCACAACATACTTGTTCATTCATCCCAGAATCATGTTTGCTTTTTTTGCAACAGCATCATACTGCTGACTCGTATTCAGCTTGTGGTCCACTATACCCCCTAGATCCCTTTCTGCCATCCTCCCTCCTAGACAGTCGCTTCCCATTCTGTATGTGCGAAACTGATTGTTCCTTCCTAAGTGGAGTACTCTGCATTTGTCTTTATTAAACTTCATCCTATTTACCTCAGCCCATTTCTCCAATTTGTCCAGATCATTTTGAATTATGACCCTATCCTCCAGAGCAGTCACCACTCCTCACAGCTTGGTATCATCTGCAAACTTAAGCGTACTTTCTATGCCAATATCTAAATTGTTGATGAAGATATTGAACAGAGCCGGTCCCAAAACAGACCCCTGCAGAACCCCGCTTGTTATACCTTTCCAGCAGGATTGTGAACAATTAATAACTCCCCCCTAAGTCCGATTATCCAGCCAGTTATGCACCCACCTTATAGATGCCCCATCTAAGTTGTAGTTGCCTAGTTTATTGATAAGAATATAATGCGAGACCGTATCAAACGCCGTACTAAAGTCTAGGTATACCACATCCACTGCTTCTCCCTTATCCACAAGACTCGTTATCCTATCAAAGAAAGCTATCAGATTGGTTTGACATGATTTATTTTTTACAAATCCATGCTGGTTGTTCCCTATCACCTTGCCACTTTCCAAGCATTTACAGATGATTTCCTTAATTACTTACTCCATTATCTTCCCTGGCACAGAAGTTAAACTAACTGGTCTGTAGTTTCCTGGGTTGTTCTTATTTCCCTTTTTATAGATGGGCACTATATTTGCCCTTTTCCTGTCTTCTGGAATCTCTCCTGTCTCCCATGATTTTCCAAAGATGATAGCTAGAGGCCCACGTACCTCCTCTATCAGCTCCTTGAGTATTCTAGCATGCATTTTATCAGGCCCTGGTGACTTGCAGGCATCTAGCTTTTCTAGGTGATTTTTAACATGTTCTTTTTTTTAATTTTATCTTCTAAACCCACCCCCCTTCCCACTAGCATTCACTATGTTAGACATTCCTTCAGACAGCTCGGTGAAGAACAAAACAAAGAAGTCATTAAGCCTCTCTGCCATATCTTCCCAACTAAGATAAGGGAAAGGCCTCTTGTTCTCTCTGATTGTATACCTCAGTGTTGCTTTCTGCCTCTGTGGGCCCCTGAGCAAGGTCGGGGGGCTGAGTGGGTGGGTGGGTGGCGGGGGAGGGTTCTATACTCCCACAGGGCAGAGCCAAGAGCAACCAGCCCCCAGCACTGTCCGGAGCATCACACACACTTTCCCCTTAGCTCTTAGTGTTGCCCATAGTGCATGGCACTCTGCTGGCAATTTAAAGGGCCTGGGACTTCAGCTGCCATTGGTGCTTCAACAGGGTTGAAGCAGCCCCTGCCTGCAGTGGGCCTGGGTGCCCCGCAGGCAGGGGCTGCTCTGACCAGGACGCCAGAGCAACCTCTGCCTGTGGTTGGCGGGGAGTGGGCACTCTAGCTGGGCTGGATCTGCTCCCCACTCCTCCCTCTTCCCCTATTCATCAGTTAAACAGTATGTTTAACCAGTTAGCTAGCCAATTAAATAGGATTTTACATCGCTACTTAATACCCATTATCTTTAGAAAATCTTTGAAAATCTCTCTATAAATTGTTGTCCAGTGGCCCAAATGCATAGGAGGGAAAGGTGGGAGTATATATATTACATTGCATCACTGTGTAGGTTTTTGTGTTCATGCAGTATGAATTTCAGGTGTTTGACATAGAGAGCTCATTTGATTTATGAATAATTTGTTTGGATTTTTGTTTAAGCTGCCGGTGCCTCATGGAATTGCCAAGGAAGATTTCTCTCCTAGAAACCCTGGAGAACTTGGCTGTAAGGTAAAATAAACTTTCTTTCTCTTTTTCTCTTTCTTTTTCTGCGAGTACACACTAAATCATTAGTCTTTTTATTATGTTAAAGCATCAACTGATTTACGCTTGAAAAGTTACACTCTGAAATACGTAATATTGGTTTACTAAATCTTGGTTTCAAAAACTGTTACCGTACCTTAAAGCGTGGGGATGTTCTTGTGCTGCTGGAGCAGATTGACAACAATTACTTTAAGTGCCAAAAAGGAGAGGAAACTGGCAAAGTGCACTTGTCGCATATGAAGATAATCACCCACCTAAATGAGCGTCTGAAAAGCAAGCAAAAGGTAAACATTTAAGAATAAATCTTTTTCGATGGTAAACTCGTCTGTGCAGAGATTATGCTTGCTTTGCATTTGTACAGTTCTTACCATGTTTCAGAGCATGACAATAGTAAAATGATTAATAGTAAGAATAGCAACTCCAAGCTTTCAGCAGCACATGGATTTTATCAAATATGTGCATTTCTTATTTAATACATACTAAGAATACATTTATTTCCAGTACATTGTAATTCACATTGCTCAGTTTTAGTACTGGGGCTCCATCTAAACCAAAATGGAACCAGATTGCTGGCATTTAACATTAAAAAGATCATAGAGCAGTTTTTAAACTAAGGGCTGAAGGAAAGGTGACAGGTGCGGAGGGGCACATTGATCGGACAGAGACGTCTCTTAGGGGAGGGTATATTCATTGAGGTTCTCTGTGTTCGAGTAAGGAGGAGATGATGGAAGATGATAAAATATGGGTAAATCTGATGAAAAACAATCAAATGAAAGAGACTAACACATCAGAAAATGGCAGACAGATAAATAGTGACAAATTTTTAAGTGCTTATACACAAATGCTACAAGTCTAAATAATAAAATGGGTGAAATAGAGTGTCTCGTTTTAAGGAGGATATTGATATAATAGACATCATGGAAACTTGGTGGAATGAGGATAATCACTGGCACAAAATATATCAGAAGGACAAAACAGATCATGCTGGTGGAGGAGTGGCACTATACGAGAGAGAAAATGTAGAATCAAATGAAGTGAAAATCTTAAATTAACCAAAATGTTCCATAGAATCTCTATGGATAGTAATTCCATGCTCTAATAATAAGTATATAGCAGTAGGGATATATTATCGGACATCATTTAAAAAATGAAAATTAAATCCCAAAAGGGAAATCATGCCTTAATAAAGGGGGTCAGCAAATGTGTGGACAAGGTTCCAGTGGATATAGTCTCTCACCAAAGAGAGATTAAAAAGACTGGGACTTTTCAGCTTAGAAAAGAGGAGACAAAGGGGGAATATGGGAGAGGTCTATAAAATCATGACAACTGTGGAAACAGTGAATAAAGAAAAGTTATTTACTTGTTCCCATAACTTAAGAACTAGGGGTTACCAAATGAAATTAATAGGTAGCAGGTATAAAACAAACAAAAAGAAGTTTTTCTTCACGCAGTACACAACCTGTGTAACTCCTTACCAGAGGATATTGCGAAGACCAGGAATTTAACAGGGTTCAAAAAAGAACTAGATAAATTCATGGAGGTTAGGTCCATCAGTGGCTGTTAGCCAGGATGGGTAGGAATGGATGACAGGAGAGGGATTACTTGATGATTTCCTGTTCTGTTCACTCCCTCTCCGGCATCTGGCATTGGACACTGTTGGAAGACAGGATAGTGGGCTAGATGGACCTTTGTCCGACTCAGTATGGCCATTCTTATGTTCTTATATACTTTGTGTATTGCACTGAAATAAATTCAGACAAAGCAATTCTTCATCAGCCAAGCATCTAGTTGAAATCATTCTACCTGTAGGTGGAAGATAGATGAATTTTTGTGATATTTCCCCAATACATTTACTCCAGTCCACTTGGAAAAGCCAGTTTCTCAACATTTTTGTCTTATCTGTTGAGATTGTGCTTTCTTACTCTGTTGCAATGTCTACTGCCATAGAAACTCCTCCCTACCCAATCGTACTCCTTGAAGGCATGCTCTCCACAACTTCTCTCTATGCACATTCCTCCAGCAATGTGCTGCTCCTTAACTAGTGAACCGCTGATGAGCTCGCTCTGATGAATCACAAGTGGCCTGAGCTTGCAGTCTACAGCGAGACCAATGTGTGAGGAATTGTACTACAAGGGTGGAGTATGACAGGGAGGATGTTTTGGAGTCAGCAGAAAAAATGTGGGATGCATTGCTGAAAGGGGAGAGTGGGGATACTCCACTCATGCACCAAGGAGGTTTGCCAGCTTTGAATGCTGGAGGTCAGATTGTCACAACTTTTGGCCTTAAATCTGTGATCTTTATAAATGATTTTTTTGACAACCCCCACTAATCAGGGTAGGGTTGATTTATTGTGGACTTAAGGGCAAACTTTAAAATGGTTGAGAGTGGTCGGTGTGGAAACACTCAATCACTCATGCTTCAGATTGGTGCAGTACAAGGAACCAAAGCACAACTGGTTGAATGTTGTGTTGAGAAAATAAGTCAGAACAACTTCTTCTGACTTTGACTAAAGCTCCTGTAAGTACTTAGCAAGAATATCATCTGACTACAGATATTTGACTTTACCATGCAGCTAGTCCCAGCTCAAAAGTCACCAGAAATTCAAAATGCATGAAAACATGTTGGCTGCCCTAGGAACCATACATATGTATGAGAGCTATATCAGCTGTCCACATATTTGGAGAATTATTTTTATATAAAATATTTTTATATAAAATAATTCTCCAAATATGTGGACATGGATATCTAATCTATACTAGGATTCATAATGTTGCTAAAATTTGTTCAGCTGAACCGATATTCACAACAATGAAAAAATTTTTAGGAACTTTTCCTGGTGTGGAAAGGGAACTAATTAATGTTATAATTCAACTCCAACTTAACACAATTTAAATGACGCAGTCATGTTCACGTGGAACATCACATGTATACAGAGTCTGCAAACTTAAACTGCAAATGTTAAAATTTAATATGTATGTTTAATTTTACATTGAATGTCGTGCTGAGCTGCAACCAAATCTTATAAGTAGAATAGCTTTATTTGCACTGCAGTATAGGAAAAACTTCTAGATGAACACTTAATGGACCATGTGTGTTACAGCCAGAAATTAAAAGGGGTAGGAGGCATAAGGGCCATTGAACAACAATGTTTGGCACTTCTGGACAGGGGAGCCAGCAGCTTCTGCAAGCACCTGGGCAAGGTGTGTGTGTGGGGGGAGGAGAGGGATTCTTTGGGTGGAAGGGGCAGAGCCAGAGTCCATCAGCTCTCTGAGCACCCAAAGCGCGGCATGTCCAACTCCCCAGCATTCAGAGATGCACATAACATGCTGTTTTGGGCTCCGGTGGCAATTTAAAGGCCCTGGGATTCCAGCCACTGCTGCGCTAACAGTGGTGGCATCACCATGCCCTGAAAGAACTGCCCTCTTCTCCCCTGCCCTCCCCCCATTGGCAGGCCTGCACCTGGAAGAAGGAAAATTTACGGAGTCATTATTATGACAGAAAAGAGATATAGGCATTTTAAGGGATATAAAGGAGATACTATTAAAATAACATGGCAACAGTCTCCAAATGGACATGCTGCAAAACTCAGAATTGTTGTAACACAGCCAGATAAAGGTAGCGGATATGAATATACTGCATCAGTTTTCTCCTTGTTTTAATTGGTTCTATGCCCTGTTACTGAATTCAATGGAATTACTTATTTAAACCAATATAAGCAAGAGAAGAATCAGGTCCATTAATTTATGTGTAGTAATAATGCCTTTAGAATCATTCATGCATGATCGAATTGTGTCCAAAACCAAAAATTAATGATAGAATGTGCAAGTTAATATTTTTCATTATTTCTAAATCTCTTGTGTTTTTTGTAAGGATTCAAACAATATCCAGAGGATTTCTGACAAAAGTGCTCCTCATGCTGTAGTTCTGCATGATTTTCCAGCAGGTGAGTCCATAAAAATAATACTAATAAGTGTATAGTTTGACTAATAGTGTAGTGATAGAAATGTAGCCGTGTTAGTCTGGTGTAGCTGAATCAAAAAACAGGACTATATAGCACTTTAAAGACTAACAAGATGGTTTATTAGGTGATGAGCTTTTGTGGGCCAGACCCACTTCCTCAGATCAAATAGTGGAAGAAAATTGTCACAACCATATATACCAAAAGATACAATTAAAATATTATCTTGACATGCATCTGATGAAGTGGGTCTTTGCCCACGAAAGCTTATGCTCCAACTCTTCAGTTAGTCTATAAGAATAAACCATCTTGTTAGTCTTTAAAGTGCTACATAGTACTAATAGTGTAGTTTGACTACTCACGTGAAATGTGCTTCCAAAGCAGAGAAGAAAATAGTTAAAACTTCTGTGGTTTGGAACGCTGATGGTTACAAGATATGTAGCATGTTGATTTTCAAGGACTTTGAAATGTGATACAATTGCAAAGCCCAAATTGCTAAGTTTGGATATACAGGCAGTCCCCAGGTTATGTACAAGATAGGGACTGTAGGTTTGTTCTTAAGTTGAATTTGTATGTAAGTCGGAACTGGTACATATTGTAGGGGAAACTCTAGCCAAACATTTCTCCAGAGCTCAGTTTTATTCTCCCACACCTCACTTCCCTCAGTCCTTTATACTCAAGCTGAGGTGTCTGCTGAGAAAAGCCGCTCCGCGTCTCCCTGGTCTGCTGGGGGGGCGCTAGCTTCATGTCTCCCTGGTCTGCTGGGGGGAAGCAGCTAGTGCGGGGTTGCCTCACCCGGTTTGTAAGTAGGGATCCGATGTAAGTCGGATCCATGTAACCCGGGGACTGCCTGTAAACTTATCCTTAACGTGTGAATGTTCTGATCCATTATTTTAGCTCAGGCCAATTTTGAGTTAAAGCTTATATGTCATGTCATATATACATAGGTGGTTAAAAACTTTAAAAAACTGGTTCAAGTTTTGGGTGTAGTGTATATTTAATATGTTTTTACTTAGAAAAATTCACTGCATTTGACACTGACTGTAATTGAAATGATGCTGTCTTACAGAGCATACTGATGATTTGGATCTCCATTCTGGAGACACTGTTTATCTTCTGGAGAAAATAGATAATGAGTGGTACAGAGGAAAACATGGGAATTGCACAGGAATGTTTCCTGCCAACTTTGTTAAAGTGATTGTATGTAGCCCACTTCCATTCAAATACACTGTGTTGCACTTATGTTCATGCTACAAGCTTAATCTACCGTCACTCCTGTGATTTTATTCCATTTTTTAGCTAGATAAATTTTATATCAGAGCACAGAAAAGAGATCAGTTTGTTGTGTGATATTAAAAATCTACTTAGCAGTACAAATCTGCATAGCCATTTATACGTATGATTCTCATGTTCATTTAAAGCAGCGGTTCCCAACCTCTTCCAGATGGGGACCCATTTTGACAATTCAGGAAGACTTGGTGACCACGTAGGGAGACACTTGGCGACACTTTTGAAATGTAATGGCGACCCAGAGGCTGGGAATCCCTGATTTAAAGTCAAATAAGAGAATCGCAGCTGTTACTTAAGAAATGGTCATCAATCAATTCAAGTACCTAAAAAGTTGTTACAAAGAAGAGGGAGAAAAAATATTCTCCTTAACCTCTGATGATAGGGCAAGAAACAATGGGCTTAAATTGTAGCAAGGGAGGTTTAGGTTGGACATTTAAGAAAAACTTCCTAACTGTCAAGGTGGTTGAACACTGGAATGAGTTGCCTAGGGAGGTTGTGAAATCTCCATCATTGGAGATATTTAAGGGCAGGTTAGATAGACATTTATCAGGGATAAGATAGATCAGGGTGTGGAACCTGCCACCAGCTTGCCTGGTTCAGCCCCCCAAAGCTCTCCACCAGCATTGAGGAGCCCACTCTGGTGCTCCATCCCTCCCACTGCTGGGCCAGAACACACAAGATCTACTACCCTGGGCCTCGCTAAGCATTGGTGTGTGAGGGGAATGTGGGGGGTGTCTTTCTTCTGTCAGTCAGAGCTACGTCAGCGAGGATTTTGTTGGGTGTGGGTGGATGGGTGTGTGGGTGTCCCTCCCTCCCCCCAACTGATTTTTCTGTGGGTCAGCAGCCCCTGACCCAAGAAAGGTTCCCCTCCTCTGATCTAGATAGTGCTTGGTCTTGTCATGAAGTCCGAGAACTGGACTCGATGACCTCTCAAGGTTCCTTCCAGTTCTAGTATTCTATGATTCTGTGAAATCACCCTGGCTAGATTCTGTTCTGCTTCGTCTGGGCAGTAGCTAATGCATAAGGAGGGAATAAACCTAGGTATGTGTTCCAGAGCCACTCCCATTTTAAATTTTTCTGTGTACGGAGGAATGGTTGTTTTGTACATATTAATATTTAATTTTGAATTATTATTTTATTTTTTAAAGTGAATTTTATGTTTAGCATTAAAAGTTATTTCTTTACTGTTTGAAATTTATAAAATCTATTGGAAAGAGAGAAGTCTTTATGAAAAAGCAGTTAACAGAGATAATTCAGCTCATTGGTGCTAGAGATTCAGTATTGCTGCAGGAGTCAGTTCTGTCTCTTTCCCATAATATTATGCTGGATCTCAGCATGAGTTCTAGGCATCAAATAATAACACTAAGTATCTTTGGTACACATCAAACATTAACTAATTAACCCTCATGAAGACCTTCTCAGGTAGGCCCTATCCCAAGATAAAGCATGGCTTAATCCAGCACCCGTAGATGTTCAATGAAAAGACTTAGGTTGATTAGTGAAGGAGTTGGGTCAGGCCCTCAGTGAATGGTGACAGAATCAGGAATATGAACCAGATCTCGAGACTCCCAATTTTATGGTTAGTTCCACTAGGCCATGCTGCATACTTTGTAGCTCTCTTGTGTGTTAAGAGAACAGGTGCTGACTGTGATGATATTTTTAAACTTTAAAATAGTATACTTGGTTAGTATACACAGTCTACAGCTCCACATGAGGTAAGGAAGAGGGTTTTTGGTGACTCTTAACCTCTTTTTAAAGTCTGTCATTGCATGTACATCAAAGTACGATTTGAGACATGTTTGTTTGTGGGGTACAGATGGCAAAATCTGTAAGATCAAAGCCCAGAATGGATATCTTGACTATTGTGAATTGCATTACCAGATAGTAGACTGCAATATCAAGGGTCTGGAACCAAAAGCGACAATGTATAGTAGCATCCATTCCATTGTCTGCCAGTCAACAAAACAGCAGACAACAAGGAGGACTCTTGCTGTTAAATCACACTGTTAGTACTTAAATTGTTGTTTGTTTTCATAATGTTGAATCGCAATGATGATGGGCCGTAGGCATCAAAGAGTTAAATTAATATACCAAAACAGATTCCTCAAATGTGTAGTCCATGATCAGAACAATGTATATTGTTTTTTCTTTTGTTCTTGTTTTTTGATTTTCTCATTATTAGATTGATGTCCCAGAGGAAGAAAACAGGGAAAAACTATTGTTTTCATCATCATGCACTAAGTGAGTTTCATGCATACTGTTGTTCTGTTTTTCATCATGAGGTATATGAAAAATAAATAAGCAGAGGGATTATGTTTACTTCAGATTTACAGAGGCATTAGCATTAATTTAGTCAAATTCTGATGGTACCAATAAATATTTTAGTTTATGCTATTTCATTTTTGCAAATTAAGGAGTATTTGAATAAGAGTCTTTCAATTTTTCCTCAGCTCATTCACATGAATTTAAGCACTAATTACTGAAAAATACAACAAATATTTCTAAAGGATGACTAAAAACTATTTTATTTCTGAGTGGAATATAAACAAGAGACTATTTCATGGATTCAAGAAATGGCACAAAACATTGACTTTGAAATAAATCTTTTTTAAATCTACTTTTTTGAGATACTGAGGATAATGTTTCTAAGGCTTGATGCTGAGAGGGACTGTACACCTACCATCCCCATTAATTGTATGTCTTCAGCACCTCACTTGATCAGGCCTGTAAATTATTATAGATTTACTTCAGTACAGAAAGATACGTGAAACATTCCTGGTGAAAAGGGTTGCAACTTGATTTCAGTTGCATTCCATAATATATTTTTTTGGGCAGTGCTAGTGTGTTGTCTGTCTTTATTGTTCACTAGACCTTTAGCCGGGTCCCAACACATGGAGGCGAAAATGCCTGGTTTCTTTGATTCCTAAGGTGGAGGATAACTTAGGGGTTTGCTCCCCTTCTCTTTATAGTCCAGTAAACCTTTGAAATGTATTCCTAGGTCTAGTTCCTTTCCCATGCTGGGTGTGGACACTATGCTGTCTGGTGTATTTTGTGCTGGTTCCTCCCTTGCTGGTGATTTTTACAGTGCAAATTATCTCATCCTGCAACCTTTGATACCAGTGACTAGTCCATTGAATTTGGCCACACCTGTTCTGACATGTTGGCTTCTTTCCTGTGTGTGGAAAAAAAACTGTTTATGAACTTTCCTAACTTTCCCAATTTAAACACACTTTAGTCACATATTTTCAGTGCATCTGTACAGTTTTTTGTGGGTTAACCGTACATTAATCACGCAAGAATAATAATGATCAGTGAGCTATTAGTTTTCCAATGATAATTATATGCCCCTTTTGGGGAAATAGTATGACAACAGAATGCCATATAGCGATGGGGGAAGTCTTAGGGTCACAGTATCTTCACCTCTCTTTCTGGGGGTAGTACTAAAGTATAAACAATAGATGTGTTCAGTGATTTAAATGTTGTTACACAACAACTTTGTTCCAGTTAAATGAAAAAAATTGAGTTCAGCTGCAATAGTTCCCTGCTGTAAATTCTAAGGCTGTCAGAGGCATTGATATTTTCCCAAGATTAAGAGTTTATTATATTTTCTGAAATCCTATGGAAAAATACAGCTTCTCCCAGTGAAGGAGTATTGTCTTCTCTGATACAAAACATCATGTTTAATTTTCAAGTTTTTTGGAAGGGAGAGGGGCTATATTGTTTAAACTGGCATTGCACAGCATTTCATCTATCAAACACATGAAATAAAAATGTGATTGTAGCCATTGATGTCCCCTTCACCCTCAAGGATGGGAGTACAGGCTGTCCAGCTATACACATATTTTTAAAAGCCTATGTAGAATAAGACAGCATTACTTTTTCTTATCTTGGAAATATGTCATGGGCCAGCTTCTTGCCTATGTACAGGAGAAAGGTGGCTTCCAGTCACCATTTGAAACCTCTGATCCTGGGTAGGCCACCGGGAAAAATCAGCCTGATGTAATTTAAAGCTACTCTCCAGGACCAGGGATCAGCCATAGCACTGCACACACTGCCTCAGTCCTTCCCTCTCCTAGCTTCATACAGCCTACTACTCCCCACCCCAGGGAATGGCTATTGCAGAGCTAGACCTACTTTGTACCCCTTTAAAGTAGCCCTCTGTCTGCTTTTTGCTGTGTTAGGCACCCATTTCAAAAATATGTCAGCCAGAAAGATATAAATATGGTGGATTTTGCTTAATGCTTACTGTTGTAGGTATCCTATGTAATTTGTTCTGGCTGTATAGGACCCAAGATGAAAGTGTAATGATACAAATATTAAAATGAATATATAAAGCCTACTCATTCTTTTGTGTTTGTGCAGGGGCCCAAGATGTATGGCTCGATTTGAATATATTGGAGACCAGAAAGATGAGCTAAGTTTTTCAGAAGGTGATATTATTGTTCTTAAGGAATATGTTAATGAAGAATGGGCCAGTGGAGAGCTGAAGGGCACATCTGGTATTTTCCCCTTGAACTTTGTGGAAGTTATAGAAGATCTGCCTGGATTAGGTACAAATATATCAGCACACTCTAAGTGTGTAACTGAATTTGAGTCACAGTGTATAACATTTAATATTGCACATAGACAGTATGACATAATGGATGAGGAATTGTAAGGAAAATGCACTTTATTTATAAGCACTAGAAAAAAAATGAGAAAGGGATTAGCGGAAACAAAGCAAAAGTGAGAGAGAACAAATATGTGAAAAGTGAAAGGAAAATTAGCCTTTTGAAGGGAAACCTGTTCTTGAATAATATGGTATCACTGAATGCTGTACTTGATTTTTCATTTCCTCACCACCATGTTGAACTCACATCACCAATGAAATTCTGAAGAGTGAGAGCAAATATTTGAACTGTTTATACTTTGTTGTGTAGGTGTAGGAACACCACAAAGAAACAAGAAAGAGAGTTCTGCTTGTCTTCCTCAGGTAGGCTATTGGAATTTAATAGAATATAGCCATATTTACATGAGGTTAATTTTCATAGTGCTACACAAGGAGATCAGCTGCACAACTTTCATTGACATTAACAGATGTTAAGCATAGATGGCTTGTGCCCCAAGTCACTAATGCTGGAGGAGGAGCCCAGTCTAAAGTGGAAGAGACAAGACCAGACCACCTCATATGTTTCTTCTCCCCAGAGGCTGCCATACTTTCCCTGTCCAAGTTACTTGTGCGGGAGAAGCACTTCTGTCCTTCATAGTATCTCCTCTCCCTGCATGTTCAGCCACTCATGCTGGCAGCCAGCCTGGGCAGGGAATGAAGGGAGCAGGATGGAGCCACTTCTCGCACCAACTGAATGTATCTGCTAAGCATCACCTCTCTATTCAGCACAGCGGCTACCTGAGAGAAAACCCAGCTACGGCCGCCTCCCCCTCCCCAGCTGGGCTCTTGTAGGCAGCCACCACATTGTACAGAGCAGCAATCCAGAGTGGCCA